CCCGCTCACACTCTCCTCTCTCTCATAAGTTTTCTCTCTTATCACTCATACACACCATCTTGTTCAGTTTCCCTCTTTGACACTCCCTTTCTCTATCACTCTCAAGGATGTTCGCCCAATTGTTTCTCATGTTGTTTCCCTCTTCACTTACCTTTTGTCCACTGATGACTGCATGTGAGAGTTGCATTGACCTTGTAAGCGTACCTGCACGAACAAGTACAAAGTCAACTCACTTCTTAGTCGTAGCATGCACGTCCGTTATGGTTGGATCCCACTTGCTCACGCGAATGGGCATGAACCAACACCAGTCTTTGCCTTCGTCACTTTTGTATGCTGCTGCTACCACATTTCCCGGTGTGGGCGGTGTACGCCATTTTCGCTTTCATGTTGTCCATCCTCGCTTCTCCACCTCTCTTGACCGTGGGCGGTGTACGGCGTGGTCACTTCCATCTTCTCCATGCTCGCTCCTTCCCTCCTTGCATCTCCTCCGTAGGCGGTGCACACCTTGGTCGTGGTGTTCACCGTGAACGGTATGGTTCGCCCAAGGTGAATTGCCCCCCCAAAGTCAAAACCGTTGCTTGTATGGACGTTAGCATGCAGCCTCGTCGAGTTGCCAACAGATCTGACATCCCCATTGGCAGACTCGAGCCTGAAAAGGAACGGGTGCTAACCGCTGGGCCAGTACCAACTGCTGGCCCGGTACCAGCTGCTGGCCAAGACTACAGATCCCGACCCGATGGATAGAGCTCTGGTTCCGTACTGATAAGACCAACAACAGATCCAACAACGACTCTTGTGGTGATGTCAATACAAGGCCGGTTCCTCGTTCAATAATGGTGGCAGCAACATAGTCCATTGCAGTCCCGATACCGCAAATGTCCTTGACCCAGTGGTTGTTCCATCTGCACAGTCCACGGTAGTCCGATCGAGGTCTGCACCTCCAACCGAGACTCGACATCAGTGGGTCCTGACCTGTTGCAATGCACCATCCAAATGATCCATACGGTTATCCGCACCAAGTACCAGTGAACCGTGCTAAAGTGAATCATAGAGTGTGCAAATGAGTGAATCGTACCAATGCATTGTACCAAGAAACCACACCGACGAGCCGCATCATTGAACTGTGCCTGCGCCGAACCAGTGACTGTACCGAGAAATAACCGCAATGAGTCAAATCAGTGAACTGTACCAGCGCCAGACCAGTGACCGTACCGGTCCCAGACCAGAGCCAAATCTTGTAAGCCAATCCTGCTACGGTCAAGTGAGGCCTGATGAGGGTCAGAAATAGAAAAGGCCCGAACACCACAAAATTGGCAATCCTCGCGCCCTGCTCACCGCACTTTCAATTGTCACAGAACAAGGGTCACTCACGCTTAGGGAATTAGGGTCATAAGCGGACTAGCAAAATAAGCTAAATCAGGGCAAACGTCAGGGGAAACCATAATCGCGAGAAAGTAAATAAAAAAGAATAAATAAAATAAAATAAAATAAAGTATAATTCAAAATCACGATTATATGTTCCTTTTTATCGTTAAATTAATTGATAAATAAATAAAAACTCATCCCAATTTGGTCACACAAAATCAACCGTGTGGAGACCCGTGCACACGTCAAACGACCAAGGATTGGAAAAAGATGAAATAAGGGTAAAATATCCTCGTAAGATGGGTCCGAATGAATACACACAATAGGTCAAATAGATAGATATAAGGAAGGTTAGTGCTACGTGATGGATGGCCGAAAAACATGGGTCGACCTAGGTGCCCTGTTTTTTTCACCACTCATTCCTTAACACCATTCCTCAAAAGTCTACAATCTGACCTCTCTTAAATTTCTGATAGCTGACTGACTTTGGCCGCTGGACACTGGATTAGCGAATAAAAGTGGCCAAAGGAAGACTGCGGTTAGGCCTTAGTTGGTTCAAAGCTACTTGGGGGGCGCAGTGGTCACCTGGGGCGAGTCGGTCACCTGGGGCGAGTCGCAAGGGAAGGTAGGTGAATTTGGCAGGTTGGTTAGATGGGTATGGCAATGGTAGTGGTAGTCAGGTCGAACCAGGGCACTCGGTTTGCGCAATTTTTTGAGTCCAGGCCACAGGAGGCCAGTGAGTGGGTGGCGGGTGGAGAGTGCCAGCAGTTACTTGGAACAAGAGTTCCAACCGGTCGAATCAGATTGGTATTCAGGTCGTTCCTAGCCCTGTATATTAGCCAGGCTAGGCTAGGTTCATCTAGGTAGAGGAGCAGCTTAGTCTCAAAAGGCCTTAGTAGTATAAGGGAATAAACTGTTACATCGATGAACCTACAGAGGGAAGAGAGACAACAAAGTAATTATAGACACAAGGGATAGTAGAGAGTTTGAGTGATGACGTGAGCAGCGAGTTCTGCTTGTAAGCCAAGCTGAGTAATTCTCTCGGCATCCGGGCTGAATAGTGAGGTCCCCGGGCCTTGATTGTTTGTTGTGAAATAAAACAGTTGGTCCCTTTGACAGCAAAATGCTGCGAGTTGGGATGGCAGGGACAGATATGGAAGCATCCCAGGGGAGGCTGAAGAGGTATGGTTTCTGCATTCTGATCCTGCAATTATTGGGTTGTACATTAATGGGATGCTCGACCCAGATGCCCGCAGGTGCAGCTCCCCACCAGCAGACAGAGCCTCAGCAGCAGCACCGAGGGTTACCCTGGGTCAGCAGGCTGCTAAAAAATATGAGATAAGGAAAAAAAGGCACACCACATGTTTTTTGTTCTTCTTTTTTCACGGGCCCGGTCGTAGGGATACTAGCGTGGGGTGGAAGATTCTGGACGTGCATTATAAGGAAAAGCAAGTTGCTCTGCCTTCAGACGGAAGCCAAAGAAACAAAATGGACGTGGAGGCTAGGGCAGTCAAGGACCTCCTTTTTTCCTTCCAACCGAGGTATTTACTTCATTCAAGCTCTTCTTCCCCTTTTTGTTTCACTTTCCTTTTTGTGGGGATCTTTGTCTTTGCTTGCTGTGTGCTGGGTGGCAGCTTGTTGATTAGCTGGAAAATGCTAGCTCAGCCTCTTCTGTTATGGTGGTGAAGGGGCTTCCTTCCTAGCCCACTCCCCTGTCCCAACCTCCCAGACACCAGAAGACAGCTGGTCTTATTCATTTATTTCAAATTATTTCTCTTTACAAAAATCCTCCTCTCTCTTGGCAGTGTTAGCACCTGGTCGCCCGCCTGGCTGTCATTCTGGGCTTTTCATGGATGCCTTTCTGTCCATCTTTGCACTCCTTAAAAAAAAAAAAAAAAAAAAAAAAAAAAAAAAAGACGGGCCTCCTGCGCAAGGCTCTTTTTCTTTTCCTTTTCTTCTTTTTTTTTTTTTGGGGGGGGGGAAGGGGGAAAGTCCTGGTCTCAGTTGGATAGGGGAAGTGGCAAGAGCACCTTCCGCTAGCGAACTGTCGCCGGGTGCTTCAGTCTACTGGTGGGGAGCAGCACCTGCTGGAAAAAGGGTCCAATATACATAATTTACTCACAGCGTCCTCCTTTTTCTTTCTTTCTTTTTTTTGGTCAATTGACTCCCATTTCTGACCCAGTTCGGTAGGGTATCCGCCTAGAGTAGGTGGTGTTCAACGAAGCTTTGCAATATTCAGCCAGTTGGACATGATTTTCTCGAGTTTTTCTGATCATATGCTTTGTTTGAGTGCACCGGTCAGGGAAGTTTTTTTTCAAAAAAAAAAAAAAAAAAAACGTTGTTTGTGCACCTTTTTATTTTTATTTTTTATAAAGCAATACCATTCCATTTTTGCTGGAAACCGGGTCCCACGTCCCTTACATTTATGCTGTGGTCATTCAGGCTGGGCGAGGTAAACCGAATCTAACAACCGAAGTAAGCCAAAAAGGCCCGTCTTGAACGGTTCAACAAGCAAAGAGCAACAATCAAAGTAAACCAAATCTAACAACCGAAAAACACACTAATCTAACAACAAAACCAACAAAATCAAGCAAAAGCGATCTTACTTCCCACTTTCACTCGGTGCTCATTTGTACGTAGTCCCAATATCCCAAGTGTCCTGAGTGCAATAATGACCTTGTTTTCCGGTTAGAGTACACTTTCGGAGGGTCCTCGACGAGAAGACTCTACGATTTTGGTCTAATCTGTGCGCTTTCTGATCAGCCTTCTTAGACGTGCTGTTTCTGGATTACACCCCCTTCAGGGTCAGGTCGTTTGGGTCAGACTCCGTCAGCGGACGGGGGCCCCATCCTGCGAGGACTACACAAGGTGGGAGGTGTAGTCTTTTTAGAGGGTAGGGACGCTACGAGGGTTTGCTCTATGCTGGGACTGGAGCTGTTTCTCCGGTGCTGGGGTTGGATTGTGCTGCCCTGTACCCTGTAACCCGAGCAATGGCTGGGGATGAGGGCTGGTAAGGAGATCTGGGGAACTGTCAAGGATGGACGGCATTCTAGTGGCTGCTCGAGGGCGGTTATCAAGACGACGCGGTCCCGAGAGACATCCGCTCCAATTACATTAAAAAAAAAAAAAGATGACGCGGTTCGGAGCCAGGGTGGGTCGCTCTGCCCTGTAGCCTAGCAGGTGGGGGTGTATTCTGAAGTGGGTCGCGCTGCTTCACAACCTGGCAGTTGGGGGCGTGAGGCCTGGTTGAGGCTTGGTAATGGGATAGGAGGGCGAGGCAGGCTGAGGTCTGGGTTGTTGAGTGCCATCTGACAGTTAGTTTCTGGGTTGCAGGCTTTATAAGTTTATTATATTGATTTTAATTACTCATAAGATTGATGGTTTGATTTAGTAGCCCTCTTAGTCTAGTCACACATGGGGAGTGGGTGGCAGGGGAGGGGGGCAGGTTGCGCTAGCGCTACCGCCCTGAGACCGGCGGACCGGTAAGGTCCGATCCTCCCGGCTAGACTAGTGCCTGGGGAGAGGAGCTCCTCGGCTGCTAGGCCTGTGCGTGTGCCCGGCAGATGCACGTGGCTCTTTGATTGGCCACGTGGCATCTGCTGTTGGTGACGTGTGTGTCCGTGACGCGTGGGCAGGGGTAGCGCCAGCCGTGTGGATTGATGAGGAAACGCATAGAGGCGCAACTTTCTGGGTTAGCGATGGAGATGGTGGGGGAGCTACAACATGGAGAAACACCTTTTGACACTGATGACGACGTTTGGCATGTAGAGGATGGTGGGCAAGATGAGGACGACATGGTCAAATACTTTGCAAATCTTCATGCGGTCTACGTGGATGGAGAAACGTTTTTTGATGACGACGTTTGGCATGAAGAGGAGGGTGGGCAAGATGAGGACGATGTGGTCGATCACTTTGCAAATATCAGCGCAGTCTATGTGGATGCGGTAATCGATGATGGTGAGCAGGATGAAGAAAACGTCGTTGGATATTATGTAACTAACGCTGCAGTATGTGAGGAGCACGGAATTGGTGAGCAGGATGAACGTGACGTCGTCGATTACTATGCAATTATCAGTCCAGCATGTGAGGAGTGTGAATCAGAAAGTGATTATCAGGGCGGCGATTGAAAATATGCCCTTGGTGATGCAGGTGGGTGGGACGTGGAGTCGGGGCTGATGGAAACGGCGGCAGCAGTGGCGACGTCAAGTTGTCAACAGACCACACGATAAAGATTGCAATAACGACAACGACATCGACAACAGCAACACCAACTACAACAACAACACCAACAACAACAACGACAATCACTCCCGGTGCCGACGTCGACCCTCAGCCTCAGCACGGTACTGACGAGAGGGAATATGCCCTCGTGGAGGTGGACGAGTGGGTGGGGGAGGTAGGGGTGACGGCTACGGCAGTGGCAACTATGGCAACGACATTAACAACAGCAGTAACAACAACAGCAACAACAACAGCAACAACAACAGCAACAACAACAATCACAACAACAACAACAACAACAACAACGACAACAACAACAACAACAACAGCAACAACGACATCAACAACACCAACACCAACACCAACACCAACACCAACAACAATAACTGCTACAATTAAGCCAATAACAACAACGTGGACAACAATAGGGGCCGCGATGATGATTGCGGAGCAGTGGTGGGGAATTACTGGTCTGAGAGGATGGCCGTTGCGGGGTTTGGGGGTGAGAGTGCAGCTTACCTTTCCCTCCCCTCCTGACCTGCTGTACTTTCATGTTCATCTGTTTTTCCTTGGTTGGCACAGGGTGGGAGTTGGGTAGATGATCTCCCCTTGTTGAGTTCGGTGGATTGCTGATAGGATTGCATTCTGCAACTTCAATCAGGGCGGGGGATAGGCTAGGGCTTCGCTAGCCGGATCTGTAATAGTCGGGTTTGAAGATGGCTTGCTTGGGGGAGAGAACGATGATTTTGCTGGTATGTAGGAATGTCAGAAATTAACAACGCTTGTTAGGAACATTACTCCATGGACAGGAGGTCGATCCTTCCCTTGTGTAGGGGAGTACTCAATGCCTCTGTTCTTTCCAAAGATACAGATTAGGTTTGCATGTATATAGGATGGAGTGTATTGCTTCTTTGTCATACTATCATTGTATAACGAAAATGGTTATGATTCCCAGCTTACACACATCATATTAATGTTTTGGAAACAACAATAACAATAGGGACCGATGTGGCTGATGAGTTGGGGCTACTGGCAACTGCGGTACAAGCGGGGACGGCAACAACAAAAACAGAAGCGCGGGCAACGATAAGGGCCGTTATAAAGATGGCAACGCAGTGGGGGGGAATCGCCGGCGTGATTGGGCTCGTGAGGCGGGGTCTTGGGGGGAAGGTGCGTTTTACCATTCCCCCCCTCCTTTTTTTTTTTTTTTTTTTTTTTTTCCAGGGTGTTGTAGAGGCCAGTTACTAGGCTCACACCCCCTCCCTTTTTTTTTTTTTTTTTTTTTTTTTTTTTTTTTTTTTTTTTAAGTCCAGGGTGTTGTAGAGGCCAGTTACTAGGCTCACATTGATCGCCGGAAGCTGTCAGCCATGATTGCCCTGAAGAGACGGGGCTACCTTCTCATTCCATTCTCACGTCAATACTCCTAGCGCATCCCCTATTCCTACTATCCTACCTCAGTGTGACCAGCACTCAGAACCATTACCCTACCATCGAGGGGAACTTGGACCGAACAGTAGTGACAGGCACCAGGGCTAGTGACCCAGCCCTGGTGGAACCAGGTGTTTTTACACGTTGATTCGTTTTTCTTCGTGTGGCACTGGGTGGGAGTTGATAGATGATCTCCCCCTCGTTGGTTTTGGATGGGGGTTGATGCCCCCCGCTCTGATTGGAGTTGGCCGGTCTGCAAGCTTAATTAAGAAGGGCAGGAGGGTCGCCCCTCGGGCGGGAAGAGGATAGTTCAGGGTTTCGTTGTTGGCGTGTTCGTAGATTGCCTGTTGGGGTTTGATGATGACGACTCTTTGCACAGATAGGTAGGTGGTCACTCCTCCCCGCTTGTGGAGAAATTACCTCCTCTGCTGTTATGCTTTTCGTTACGATAGTACTTCATGGGCAGGTGGTCAATCCTTCCCTTGTGTACGGAAGTAATCAATGCCTCTGCTCTTTCTGGACAATATAGGTGAGATTCGAATAACTACAGAAAGGTTTGAATGTGATCTATGAATTTCCACACATCATTGTATAGGGCTCCTGGGTCCGTTTCTCCAGGTAACAGATATCACATCATTGTTAGGGCTCTGTCTGAGCTCATATTGGAGATACTGTACATAAGGTGGAGGATAGGGTAGATAGGGCTTTTCCTTCACGAGTCATTAAAAATAGAAAAAAAGAAAAAAGAAAAAGTATAGTCACACATAAGAAGTGCAGTGTTTTTCCTTGATTTGCCCCTTTGAGGTTGCAATCCCAGCAGAGGGGACCAGGACAACAAGTAGACAGGTCACGGAATTTGACCTCAGTGGGAACAGAAGAAATGGGTTGGGATAGACGAGGGGTTGGGTCGCGAGGTGGGGTTTACAGCTACTGGGGAGCTGATGGGGGTTGCCATACAGGTGCGTACGTAAGGATGGCCTCAGGAAACTGGGCCTGAGTTCCAGTAGTCATTGCTCACCGGAATAGGGCCTCAGTGGTTATGAAAGTCTGGGAACGGGCAAATATCAGTCCAGGGCTGGGGTCTTGATGGGCCACGGTTGTCCCAGCAGGGCAAAACTGCTATCTTAGCAAAGTAGTTCTGGTGTGAATCTTCAAACTTTTCATAAGGCTTGTCATTTCTAGGGCCGCTGGACCCACTTCCCAGCAAGTGCTGCTCCCCACTGGACCCACTTCCCAGCAAGTGCTGCTCCCCACTAATAGACTGGAGTAGCTGGTCTAACAGGCTGGCAGTTTACTCAGGTTTTCCAAAATCCCTTGATTTATTCTCAGATGAAGCTCGGTATTGGCCCCGGTATTTCAATGCTTGTAATTTCATATGGGATGCTGGGCCCGTTCCCAGCACGTGCTGCTCCCAATGAATAGATTGGGGTTTTTGTCTCCCCCCCCCCCCACAAGAAATAGGTTCAGCCCTGGAGAGGGCAGATAGAGTCAAGGGGCGCTGTTTTCAGCGGGGAATGGTGTTAAACCACCAGTACACGGCCCCAGCCTTGCTGAAAAGAAACTCATAGGCTCGGCCTACCGGACCACGATGGCGGGCAGCACCAGCTGAAAAAGAAAAAAGTGCCCCACTGGCAGTTCGGAAAATGCAGCAAGAGGCCTGCAGGCCCGGTGCACTGGTGGTTTAAGT